CAATGTCATCTGTAAGAAGATCACACGTTATTTCATTTGAACAAAGTTCAACAAATTTATGCCAATTTGCAGATTTAAATCTCCATCTAGAAATTCCATGTGCAGGTGTTCGAAGAGGTGTAAACGATATTTCAGTGAAAACTGGAAAGTGATCACTCCCCAAACTGTCGTGTTGATAAACACCCCACTGGCATTTGTGGGATAAAATAGGCGAAACAAGGGTAAGATCCAATGCTGAGAAAGTAAAGTGGCCAGAGTTTAGCAATATTAAACCCTGTGTCCTCCAAAATTTCCTACAACTTGACCAGCATGATTTGTATGCCTGCTCCCCCACAGTGCATTATGACTATAGAAATCACAACATATCAAAACTGGTGTATCTACAGAATTAGTCAGCATTTTATAATCATCTAGAGATGGCGTACCATTGCTGTATATATTAACAATGGTTAGGAATTGTTTCTCGTCTGAGACAATTTCCACCGCATTTGCCTCAAAATTAGGTTTCGGCAAGGTATGACTACTATATGATAAATCCAATTTGACAAACGTAGCAAAACCGCCGCGTTTAGGATTTCTGGTCGTAGGGTCTTTTCGGTCTTTTCGCATGCTAACATAACCATTAATTTTAAACTGACACTAGGCCAGAGGAATGTTTCTTGAATGCATATTACATCCGGTTGGAATTTTAGTTTTTCAAGAAACGCCTTAAGATGAGGACCGTGTGCAACTAAACTCTGTGCACTCCACTGCAGAAAAGTTAGCAGCAAGAGGGCGCTATCCATCATGATTTATCAGTGAAAAAAGACGGAAGATATCTTGAGATATATCAATGTGGAGATGAAACTTTGCAGCGGACATAGTACGACAAATTTGGTCATCAAGGTTTGGAGCACCAAAACAGACTGTGATGACTGACCTCTAGATGAAAGGTTGAGATATTGAAAGCTGGAAGAGTAACCTCCCTTTAATGTAGTGACGCCGTGTTTCACCAGGAAAAGATAAGCTTAGTTGATGATGATTATGGATTTATTGTTATCAGTTGTGTAATTGTGGTTGGATCAATATTACAACCTTGGAATGAGAAACAAAATGTCTGACATTCTTGTTTAACATGCACACTGAGGTGCATCAATGAGCACATGCATGCTTGTGTGTGCTAGCCCACTGAGACAACTGAGGTGCATCAATGAGCACATGCATGCTTGTGTGTGCTAGCCCACTGAGACAACAGGGGTGCATCAGTGAGCACATGCATGCTTGTGTGTGCTAGCCCACTGAGACAACAGAGGTGCATCAATGAGCACATGCATGCTTGTGTGTGCTAGCCCACTGAGACAACTGAGGTGCATCAATGAGCACATGCATGCTTGTGTGCTAGCCCACTGAGACAACAGAGGTGCATCAATGAGCACATGCATGCTTGTGTGTGCTAGCCCACTGAGACAACAGAGGTGCATCAATGAGCACATGCATGCTTGTGTGCTAGCCCACTGAGACAACAGAGGTGCATCAATGAGCACATGCATGCTTGTGTGTGCTAGCCCACTGAGACAACTGAGGTGCATCAATGAGCACATGCATGCTTGTGTGTGCTAGCCCACTGAGACAACTGAGGTGCATCAATGAGCACATGCATGCTTGTGTGTGCTAGCCCACTGAGACAACAGAGGTGCATCAATGAGCACATGCATGCTTGTGTGTGCTAGCCCTCTGAGACAACAGAGGTGCATCAATGAGCACATGCATGCTTGTGTGTGCTAGCCCACTGAGATCAACAGAGGTGCATCAATGAGCACATGCATGCTTGTGTGCACTAGCCCACTGAGATCACAGAGGTGCATCAATGAGCACATGCATGCTTGTGTGTGCTAGCCCACTGAGACAAAAGAGGTGCATCAATGAGCACATGCATGCTTGTGTGTGCTAGCCCACTGAGACAACTGAGGTGCATCAATGAGCACATGCATGCTTGTGTGTGCTAGCCCACTGAGACAACAGAGGTGCATCAATGAGCACATGCATGCTTGTGTGTGCTAGCCCACTGAGACAACAGGGGTGCATCAATGAGCACATGCATGCTTGTGTGTGCTAGCCCACTGAGACAACTGAGGTGCATCAATGAGCACATGCATGCTTGTGTGTGCTAGCCCACTGAGACAACAGAGGTGCATCAATGAGCACATGCATGCTTGTGTGTGCTAGCCCACTGAGACAACAGAGGTGCATCAATGAGCACATGCATGCTTGTGTGTGCTAGCCCACTGAGACAACAGAGGTGCATCAATGAGCACATGCATGCTTGTGTGTGCTAGCCCACTGAGACAACAGAGGTGCATCAATGAGCACATGCATGCTTGTGTGTGCTAGCCCACTGAGACAACTGAGGTGCATCAATGAGCACATGTGCTAGCCCATGCTTGAGACAACTGGAGACAGGGTGCATCAATGTGCATCAGTGAGCACATGCATGCTTGTGTATGCTGCTAGCCCACTGAGACAACAGAGGTGCATCAATGAGCACATGCATGCTTATGTGCACTAGCCCACTGAGACAACAGAGGTGCATGCATCATGAGCACATGCATGCTTGTGTGTGCTAGCCCACTGAGACAACAGAGGTGCATCAATGAGCACATGCATGCTTGTGTGTGCTAGCCCACTGGACAACAGGGGTGCATCAATGAGCACATGCATGCTTGTGTGCTGAGACAACTAGCCCACTGAGACACTGACAGAGGTGCATCAATGAGCACATGCATGCTTGTGTGCGTGCTGCTAGCCCACCCACTGAGACATGAGACAACATGAGGTGCATCAATGAGCAACATGCATGCTTGTGTGTGCTAGCCCACTGAGACAACAGAGGTGAGCACATGCATGCTTGTGTGTGCTAGCCCACTGAGACAACAGAGGTGCATCAGTGAGCACATGCATGCTTGTGTGTGCTAGCCCACTGAGACAACAGAGGTGCATCAATGAGCACATGCATGCTTGTGTGCTAGCCCACTGAGACAACTGAGGTGCATCAATGAGCACATGCATGCTTGTGTGTGCTAGCCCACTGAGACAACTGAGGTGCATCAATGAGCACATGCATGCTTTTGTGTGCTAGCCCACTGAGACAACTGAGGTGCATCAATGAGCACATGCATGCTTGTGTGCACTAGCCCATGGAACGAACATAACATGCATCATGTTAACATTGATACTATACTCATACACAGTATCCCCACTTCATACACAGTATCCCACTACGGGTCTAACAGTCCTACACCAGGCAGGGTAACATGCCTTCAGCAATGACAGGCCATGGGAATCAACTATAGACTTTTCGCTCTTCAGCACTGTCCACAAGACCACTGAGGTAGTCAATGAAATTCCTACCATGTCATTGTAGCTCACCTTGATAAGAAGACATTAATTCATGCCAATAAAGATTCCATTCAATAGTCATATATTTTCTGAGTGAATGAGTGAATTGGGTTTAAGGCTAGTGTTTTACAGCATCTCGGTTTATTATGGGAGGAATGGCCAAAGTGATGCATGTCTCTAATGTTTACCACTTTGAAATGCTCAAGCTTGTGTACAATGCTGACAAAAATACCAACCTAATCAGTAATCAGGGTAAGAACAGGTTTTTATCCCATAATGACCTGGTCGCTTCAATGACCGGACCACTTGTGCCTAGCTTATGTCGTCACCAAATACATGCTAAAGTTCTCTTCCTATCTAGCAAAGGTTACAGAATTGTGCCAGTTAATGTTTGCACTGTGAGAGATTATAACAGCTTGGTGAAAACACAAGGGTAAAGAAAATGAAATATGGTGGACATATCTCGTGAGTCCTTTTATAAGCAAGGATATACCCAATTCCATGACATTTTGAAAACAAAGGGCTGATTAATGACCAATAGAGCTGCTGTGGCAGACAAACAGAAAATCTGAATCTGTTGAAGTGACTGGGACGTAATTACTGGTGAGATCCAACATGTGAAGGTCCAGCTTCATTGGTTCAGTGTTTTCAGAGTGAGCGAGTGAGTGAGTTGGGCTTTACACGACTTTTAGCAATATTCCAGCTATATCACAGCCGGGGTTACCAGGTGTGGGCTTCACATATAGTACCCATGTGGGGAATCGAACCCGGATCTTCAGCTTGACGGGAGAACGCTTTCACCACTAGGCTAGCCCACCACCCCAGTGTTTTCAGAGTGAGTGAGTGAGTAAGTTTTTATGCCGCACTCAGCAATATTCCAGCTATATGGTGGCGGTCTGTAAATAATCGAGTCTGGGCCAGACAATCCAGTGATCAACAGCATGAGCATCAATCCACACCATTGGGAACCGATGACATGTCAACCAAGCCAGGAAGCCTCACCACCAGATCCCATTAGTCGCCTCTTACAAGAAGCATGGGTTACTGAGGATCAATATTCTAACCAGGACCTTCACAGGTAATTTCAAAATATCAAAATATAACTTTGTGCGGCACTTTTCAAGTTGATGATTGAACAAACTTTTCAAAGTTCAAATTCTAGAAATTCTTGAACAAATAAAATTATCATAAAAAAATTTGCATTGCACCTCTCCTTCAGACAAAGACAGTGGTGGAATGTGGCCGGTCTCTAGCTCATCAACCAATGGTTGGTTGGTTGGTTTGTATTTTAATGCCACAGTCAGCAGTACTACAGCTGTATGACAGCTGTCTGTAAATATCAAGTCTTGACCTGACAATCTTGTGTACAGCTGTATGACAGCTGTCTGTAAATATCAAGTCTTGACCAGATAATCTAGTGATTGACATTATGAGCATCGATCTAACGTAATTGAAATATTCTGACATGAAGCAAACAAGTCAGTGAGCCTGACGACCCTATCCTGTTAGTCCCCTCTTGTTAAAAGCATGGAAAATTCTAACCTGTGGATCTACCATTGGTGCTAAATCAGTCATATCTAAGACTCTAAAATACTATAACCCAAGGAGAAATCAAGTCACACAAGAGCGATTCATTATTTAATTCTGTAAAATTCATGTCGGTTAACATTTACATATCAGTGAATACTTACTTTAACCCACACAAACTAGTGATTATCTTACATAATCAAAATGCCAACTTGGTAATATTATAACAGCAGAACAAGCACCAAAGGTAACAATTATCAACTTTGGAATAAGTGTCCCTGTTCTTGTAGTGAAAACCCTTCACATATTTTGTAAACAGAAGAGCTGAAACAACTGGTAGACATTCAATAAACCAACACTTGATGAAAATACCTGTAGTCAGATGGTGGCTGTGGCTGATTGTGTAACTTTAACTTTGGCCATTTTAAAATTTGGACATTTAAAATCATAACAATTTCATATTAAATTTGGCTGATTATTTTAACCTGGAAACATAGGTGGTCTGTCACGAAATTTATCAAAATTAAGCTTCCAAGTAAAATTGAATACAGTAGTTTCAGCTCAAGATAATTATATATCTCAAATTCTCCATACATATCCAGTACTTGGTGACCTAAGGGTAGGTTCAGGAACAGTGGATGATACAGCCAGTCCCAGTAGAAACATCTGACTATATGTTTGGTCAGGCAAATATCAACCGCCAATATTTCTGAGCAACAGACAGACAAAATCAGTCTCTAATAACATTAGCAATACATACAACATGTACAATAATTTACAGCCTTTATATCATGATCAGTCTCAAGCATCATCATCATCATCATCATTTTCTTCCCAAGATGTGCCAACTGTTTGAGAAACATGGAGGCATTCACCAAGTCACTGCACCCATACACTATTTTGCGCTGTGTTGTGGTCGACCTGGACTTAGCATAGTCCATGAGGTTCTGGTACTCGATGTAGTTGCCACCACCAACCATGAAAACATAAGCATCTTGGTACGCTGACTTGTTTCGGGGAATGGATGTACTATCTGCCCGCAACAGTTTAGGGTCAAAGTATCGGTAATCGTCAGTCTCTTGATTAGACTTCATCTCCATCAGCGCATCCACAACTCTTGTAGCTGGCAGATTGTGTCGTTTGACAGCCAGATTCTTCACTCCCTCCATCACAAACTGGGAACCTTTAGACACAAGGTTTGAGAACATTCCAATAGAGCTGATGCCACCCCCAGCATACTGACTTGGTGCAACGGTCATTTTGGAGTAGGCTCTCCAGCGTCTCATGTACTGGATGGCTGTTATGTCACAGTTGGCAGCTTGGAGAGCCACACAGTATTGGTCTATCTCAGCTTCAGACATGTGGGGGCCACAGATGAGTGCAATGATAAACAGTCGTACTTTATCTTCTGGAGTCCCTGCTTCGGGATCAGATATCAAGTCCATCAGAGTCTTATCTAATACAGACTTACTCATCATTTTCTCTTCTGACTCAAAGTATATATCAAGCTTTCTGACTTTGATTTGATCAAGTAATGCTGTGGCTATATTTGTGTGCATGTCAATAAGACGTTTCTTTTCAAGAAGTTCTGGAAGTGAGCTGACAGCTGATGTAAGTTTAGCTGTATTATCTGACAACATACTTATAGCCGAGTCATCTTCTCCTTCAAGTCCCATTGCAGCTTTAAGTTTCTTCACTTCATCTTCCTGTGTCCTGTACACATCCAGCTCCTCCTGCACTGCCTCAGCAACTGTTGGGAATGGACTTCCCTTCTCTGTGTCCCAGAATTTGTCGGCAGTGCTAAGATCATATGTCTTTTTCTTCTTCATAGGGCGTGGAGATCCTGCTGCAGACCTTGCTTCAGACGTCTCTTCAATTTCAACTCTGTTCAGTTTAAAATCCAGCACATCGTGACATAGAGCCTGATATGTCCAAGTGTGATGAAGCATTGTTGCTAGATCTAGATTCCGATCAAGTACCACCAACAGTGGTCGCTGGAAGCTGAACTGACCAGGTTGAGAGTCAGCTGTGAATAAACTATTTCTTGCATCGCGGATGTTCTCACGTAGCTTTTTGTCAAGCTTCTCTGCAACCATTTCAGCTGCATTTCCTCTGGGGCATCGGATAATTGGTACAGTACCTAGAGTCACAAAAACTGAAAACAAACTGTCAACAATGGTGTCCATGATGTTCTCCATCTCAGAGTCTTTCACATCTCCACGGTTGATGGCATAATATGATATTGAATCACGGTCTTGATGTCGCAAAGTAAACAGATTGTCCTCCAGAGATATAAAGTTCAAATATTGGTCGAACACTTTGGAAACCTGGGCGACTGTGTTACTCTGTATCGCCGTACTAGCGATATCCTCTAAACGCTGACGTGATATGGCAGATATAAAATTGAAATAGTAGTTTTCATACAGCTGATTCTGCATATCACGGCATATTCTTTGGATGTTTTCATCTGTCGGGAGTACGAAGTATATCGCCGGGACATCTGGGATTGGGTCTCGATCTGTGTGTAGTTGTAAATGAAGAGTTACACCAATATCTCTCAACTCCTTTACAGTCAATAACGGCGATATTATATCCTGACCAAACCTGTCGTAGACAAGAATCTTCCATTGTGGTTCAGCAGACGACTGTTTAGTCTGTGGCTGATTAAAATTGAGCATACGTTTCAAAGCCGCGATTTGTTTTTCTCTCACTGACGCTGCCATTTTGACAATGTGTCAGTGCTGACCCCTACACGTGGCACTTCCGCATTACGCCCTCTGGTCTAGGGTAGATAACTCTTGCAAAGCAACCAAAGCCGGTTCAATGGCAGACGATGTTTCGCTTTGACGTTTGACTGTTTAATTCGAGGCTATAATCTCATTTATATTTAAAACATTTGGAAGATTCTCATGTAAGCGAGTCATTTTAGGTTGTTTCCGATTTGAAGCAACACTGACTGTAGCATTTGTGATTTTTCTCTACACCTAATCTGAGTTTGAAGTTCAGGCAAGGTTGTTGTTTGATATGTTTCTATCTGCAATATATTGCCCTCCAGTCACCACCACATTCAGCTTTACTATTTCCTATTTTTGTCAATAATGAAATTTCCATTTTGTGATGTTGTTAGGTGTAGATCTATATTTGAATAAAAATGAAAGGGACCGTTCATAATTTGTGGCTAGGGGGTGATGATGAGTTTTATGGAGAAACATGTACAATGTAAATGACCCTCCCTAAAATTTATGTACAAGGTAAGTGGGACCCCCAGTCATGTACAAAATTACTGCCCCCTCCTTATAGATGTGTACAAAATTGAAAACAAATTGGGGACAAAAAAAAAAACCCCATTAAAATCATCACACCCCACCCCCACCCATACTTGTGTGAATCTATTCTCGTTTTATGACAAAATTGGGGGATGGTGTGTGTTTAAAAAGGATAATGTACTAAGATAAGTGTGAAGAATGAGAGATGAAGCAGCTTTAGTGGAGAGTATTTGGTAGGTACACTAACTCCTTCTTTGGAGTTCTGTGATTTTCTGCAACACCTTCTTTAACAGTAATGTTTTGTGGAGGATTTGTGTTTTCATGCCACTGCAGCCAGGAAATATAGTGATAGTCGATTTGCAGCTGTGTGTCTTCATGTCCAAATTACTAACAATAGTCCTGTGTTTGAATCCTGGCTCTGGGGATGCAGTGTCAGTGGATTTATGCCCATGGTTGTTACACTTTATCTCAACCACACATCCACAGGGTTTTGGGAAGATTATGGGCCTTCACATAATCATGCTATATTGTACACTTATGTCAACCCTGAATGTATGTACTGTGTATCACAATAGATAATCTTTAAGTATTCATTTTGTTAAGTAAAATGTAATCTATGACTGCAATATAATGTCCTATCCTGTCATTTTAATTTTTATATTTTCCTTTTCAGGTTGTAGTTGCAGATAAGTATAAAGAAAAAACAACTGGTTCTCTGTTGTTTTTTGTTTTATTTAGAAACTGCACAAATTACATTTGCAAATTTCACATCCAGTGGAAAATGATTCAGTTCCAGTGTAACATAAACTCCCCCGATTCTTCAAGAAATATTCAGTCATGACTTTTCAGAAAGTGAAGTGAGTTTTCTATGAATTAAACACGTTTTCCGGCCCTGACAACGTCCTAGACATGTTCCATCATCAAGTATTTCAAACTCTATTACAGCGGTTCCAAAATCGTTTGCGTTCGATTATGAGAAATGTGATCGATTGCTTGGTCGTTTGGCCACTGCGACCAATCTTCGATTATTTCAATTAATCGGAACATCACTAACTTACACAATACACAAAGTTAGGTCTTTAATCATGGGCTGCTTCTAAAGTATGTTCAGGATGCTGTTTTGTTAGTAATCCATGCATAAACATGTCACCACTTGCCAATGATATGAACAGGGATGAGGATTTTCCACGGATCCACAGAATTCTGCGGATTGTATCGCGCAGGGGTCATTCTTGTGAATCATTTAAACCTGAGGCCCCCAAGACACTCGGCTCATTTTCCACTCATATCCTTTCTCATTCTTGTGTGAAATATATTCATTTCTTTAAGACCTTTCTGGCATTTTTGCTCAATGTTACTTCTTTATTGATAATTGATTGATATTTTGTAAACGATTATCGATGTCTATGATCCATATCGATAGCCAGCCCTAGTAATGGCTGCACCATCAGATAAAAGTGTGTGGTGGGATGGGGTGCTTGCACCAAACACTGAATCCTCGGCCAAGTCACTTTGTGACAAAGGTTTCATGTGCATCCCCTTTTCCAAAATCGTGGACCCACCTCTGTGATGGACAGCACTTACTCAAAAGTGTGTGATATAACACAAGTTGAAGGATAAGAGTATCACCCAATGTGAGACTTTATTTAAGTCTGTAACTCTTGACTCTGCTTTAATGGTTTAAGTAGTAGCCTTGAGCTTAATTATGTTTGCTTCTGTCAATAACTATTGAGGGAGTGATTACAGAATGAAACAGTGCAAATTTCAATTTTCGTGTCTCCTATTGAGTTGAAAGTTGACTCTCAGGTACACACACTATTGGGAAATGGACCAGGTGCATGTTATCATGGGAAATGTAAGTTAGGCATGGAAAGATTGGCAACTCCAGCAAGTTTAATTCAGATCATTTGTTTTGTTTCCCTGCAAATACAATATATAATGCTGTGGTGTTGATCAACAAGACACTTCATGATTACTTTATGGTAACTAAGGTGAGGCCATCAGTCCTATCAACCTTCATCCCAAATGTTCTCAACAGTGTATGCACAAAATGTTTTCACAATGTGCTTAGTATATTCAGTCATAAACAAAAACACAAGAGATGAATACTGTCATAATATTTTATTTACATGCAAACAGACTGTATTATAGAGATATATTATGCTGAGTAAATGTATAGTATATTGAAGCAGTTCTGTTGCTGTGATAAATCTCATATATTTTCTAGACTCTCTGTACAACAAAGACAGGTTTGATATGGAGACAAAATGACCAGACAATACCAAATGCTGAAGCTTTTCACCATCACAATGACAATGGACCCGTCGGGATCAAAGGGAAAATTGCCCTGCAAAACATGGAGAGGGAGAAGAGTGCTAAACAATCACAAACAGAGACAATACATTTTGTTAGACTGCTATATTGGAAATAGGCTAAATTTCTCTTTTAATTCAGTTACTTTAGATCACAAATGTGATCCTGGAAAACCAAGGAAAGCATTCATGATATTTCTTGTTAACAATGCTCAGTTGCATGAACATGGCACCAGAACAGTGAACGGTGTCCAGCAAACGTGAATAAACAAATGGCAGCCAATCTGTCTGCATTTTTTAAACTATAGTATTTAGTTCAAGATAAACGCTTAATTATTTCAGACATGATCAGGTGCCACCTGCATTCTTTCCAAAAGTAAGAAAATTTGGCACTTGCTTGAGGCTATTTCTAAACCTAGAGAACAAATACATGCATGCAATACAATCCAATCTACTGAACAAAAATAGGTGGAACTACACATCGCACACAGAAGCAAGGCGAGACACTGACAAGCTGACTGCCTGAACACACAGCAACACACATGCATTAACAGTGGTAGCATCATCACCAGGAAGCTAATAACTGGCATACTTTACAGCTTGTGAGTTTGTTCAGAGTAAATACCGAATAATTTTCAAAGACTACATTAAATTCACACTTTAGAAATACAAAGCCAAATCTATTACATGTCCTTAATATTCAACTTATCATACCTGGCTACCAATACAAAATGACAATACCACTACTTTGATAATGTTTGTTTCCCTGAATAAATTATCAAGAACAAATTATGTGATAAGTTTTTATTCTGTTTTGGTTCTTGGAAACCACTTTCTTCTTCCAATTATGTTCCTACTGATTTATGTCTACACTTTTACAGATGCATTTACCATTTCATGTACATGATATTCTGGGATCACACATAATACTTTTTCTGATGAGACAATAATGTCACAATATACACTTGACCTAAATCTAAGTTACATCCTGTTTCTGTACTTCCATCAGTCATCTTTTCAAACTGACACATAACAAAACAAACTGAACCAAGAACAATGAATGGATACTGGCTTAATAGAGTTACCTCCCTTGCTTCACAAATGAGAAGAAAGTGACTTTCTTTCACATAACATGAGGTATGCTGTATAAGATACTGGATTACAGAGTCTGAAAGGTCTGCATGTGTGTTATAATGATGCATAGATCATCCACAGGATGAAGTGCTGCATCTTAACCCTACACACTGCATCTCACCTCAGTCCCATGTTGGACTACACTACTCATCTTGAAAATATTTCGAACACTGCAACTTTTCAGGTATTTGTTAACTTCAGATAAAACCTGGGTGAAAATAAATTAAAACTTACTGAGAATTAAACAGAAATCAACAAGATTTTAAAACATCAACAACTCATAACATAAAGAAACAGTTCAGCATCGTAATGATCCATCTATATATACAATTGTAGTGACTTCATGTGCACATCAGTTAGCCTGTACAGGTGGGAGGAGGCAAGTGGTGGTGCACTGTACAAGAAACTGCATTTCAGAAAGCAGGAGCAATTGCAGCAGTGTGAAATTAGTTAAATTTAGTTGCATCAAAAAGTGAACATGAGAGGAAATACCAACAAGATGCATACATGGGCTTTACCACTTTGTTTCAATTAACAAGCAAGTATATGGATGACTGACTGAGTTTGGTTTTACGCCGCTTTAAGCAATATTCCAGCAACATCACGGCGGGGGACACCACAAATGGGCTTCACACATTGTGCCCATGTGGGGATTCGAACCCGGGTCTTCGGCGTGACGAGCCAACGCTTTAACCATTAGGCTACCCAACCGCCCCGTGTATGGATGAACCAAGGATAGTAGTATTCAGTGCAAAGAGAACTGATCCTGCCAAATCTTAAGGATGCTCTATTGGACAGAGAAATTTGGGGCATTGGACCACAGTGCTAACCTAAGAAAACCAATAAAACTAAATCATCACAAGGATAACCACAAACTGCCTGAAATTAATTCACAATGATCTTGTTCATAGCAAAGAATGTAATGTAGATTATGTCACAGAAGTTTAAGTGAGAGTGAGTATCTAGGCTAAATAGTATTTCAAACAATTTATATCATGTATGAATATAGAAAGTGTGGTGATGGAGGAGTGTCTATGAGAAAACTATTTCACTTCTAAGATCAATCACTGACTACTGACGTCAGTACAGGTGGCTGGGAGATGTGCTTGTTTCAAGCAGTAAACACGGAGCATGCAGACAGTACTTGTATGTACAGCTATAGTAAGTAGGCTGCAACATGCTCAACATCATGAAAGTCTTGGATCACATATATCTTATAAAACCTCCTTGTACTGACAACACAATGACACAAGCACATGTGCAACATTGTTGTTCCATGAAGACAAGACATCGATACTTCTACATGTGGAACATTGTTGTTCCATGAAGACAAGACATCCATACTTCTACATGTGCAACATTGTTGTTCCATGAAGACAAGACATCGATACTTCTACATGTGCAACATTGTTGTTCAGTGTGGACACGGCATGCACATGTGCCCGGTTTTGTTCTGTGAAGACAAGACATTCACACCTACACATGCACAACATTTTTGTTCTGTGAGGACGAGACACTAACACCTGCACAGGAACCTCTTTGTTCTGTCAGGACAAAACACTGACGCCACCACATGCACAATATCCTTGTTCGGTGTGGACAACATCTTTGACACATGTACATTTTTGTTCTATGAGGATAAGACATTGACACATGCACGTTATTATTCAGTGTGAACAAGACCTTCACATGTCACGTACGTTTATGTGTGGAGTATTGCGTAGTAACGTGCACATCTAGCTGTCAGCTGTAGCACAGGGAGGCAGCACTTGAAACTGATACATGCACTAGTATAAACTCTTCGCCATATCCTATATAGGAACATTGCACTGGAAATACATTTGTTCATGCATATACTAAACCAGCAACATTCACTTGCTGTGTTGCTATAGAAGTCTACTGAGAGACAAGTAGTGTGGAGCACTTGTATCATCTGGCCTTGAGATATGTAGACAGCTGTAAAACTGGCAGTCACACACCACAATGCATGATGTTCACATAGAAACAATATACATCTATCCAAGACTCCAAAGTTCCATGAATTGGCAATACTTAGGCCATACTCTCTGAAGGTCCGATCTGGCTCAAAGCTAAAACTAGAATGTCTCGTTTCTCCTTATAAAACCGAAGTTCTCTCCCAGCTAGTCGTGCAGATTCTAACTCTTTCTCTGATATTTTCAACTCCCTGGGGATGATTGAACAATCCTCCTGTTCTCGAGCGATCCAGTCTAGTGCCATCTGCGACCTCATGTCATCGTCCAGTGCCCGATGAGAGTAGTGCGCCAGCACTTCCTGCCGGGAGCAGCTGCGTTCACGCATAGCCTTGAGACTGCCATTCCAGTGCAGCAGTTGGAAGACGGTCATCAGTTCCTGGAACTCTAGCATGGTGCGCCCCCTGTTGGCCTCAAGCATAAACTTGAAGGCTCCAATGCCTGTGCTGGGGTTCTCAATATCGGACTGGCTTCCCTGGTGGACAGAAAAAAAAGAAGAGTTTTAAAATAGTTTTAATTGGCAGAAGTGACACATGTTCTTTCATTTATTTCATATTTTGGATGCATGTAAAAATGATGCATCGCTAATACTAATACAAATTCCACAGTTCAAAGTATTCAGTTAAATGAATATACCATTGAAAGTTCCCTACCACATGCAGTCTAAATAGAATGACTATCCAAAATGACATTTCTTTAACATTGCACTAAGGTTACCTTAGTGACTTAAGATCACCTTAGTGCTTTGTGAAAGGAGGCCCTGATCTACTAAGTCATCTTGTGAAACATAGTTCCCAGACCCACTCCTGTTTCAGAATCCCCACTGAAGAGCTGAATCACTTCAAGTTCTCACCTTGAATGAAGCAAGGGCATCACGTATGGCCTTGTCGATGAATTCATCACTTATTTTCCTTGAAGGATGTTCATTGAAGACAGAATTCATGAGAGCAATCTTGGCAGCACTTCTCCTTGCCTCCGCCTTAGTCGAGCAGTTCTGCAAACAAACAATTTGGGAATGACAACAAACTACAGATACAACAAGCTCATCTGTGAGTTGGGAGTAGTAGAATTGAAAATTTTTGCCACCTGAATAATTTCTACTGGCATGATAACATACATGTACATGGTCTATATAACCAATACCGCAAAATATCATCTTCTCAAGACAAGTGTCCACTTATACAACCCTTTGCTAAAAGTATACAAATAGTTTTTGACATTTACTATACTAATGAAGTGCTTGAAAATCTCAGTTTGGATTCTCTAGAGGAAGGGTCCTCTAAGTGTATTAGAGTTTGTGCAACTGGAACCAGGGGATGCTGATGACGTTTAATCAAAACGAACATAATAACTTACTGACAAGATCAGCCTACTGTCACATGCAGCAAAGGACCAGCAAAGGGTTGTGTTTTATTTCTCATTACATGTGTACAGACAGTACAAAGTATTAATTTCAGCTGATCCTTACAAGATTAAAGTGATTGATCTAGACAGTACAGTTTCCCTGGGGTTACTGCTTGTCCACGGTGACTCATGCAGGTCAGTCAACACACCATTAGTGGCTACACAAATACCTTAAATAGATAACCTTGATGTCACTATTCCCACTACAGAATTACCCTGTGAGGTCACTATTCCCACTACAGAATTATCCTGTGAAGTCACTATTCCCACTACAGAATTACCCTGTGATGTCACTATTCCCACTACAGTATTACCCTGTGATGTCACTATTCCCACTACAGAATTACCCTGTGATGTCACTATTCCCACTGAAGTTTTACATGATATCACCTGCCCCACAACAGATGATCCATAGTAGACTAACCCTTAATGTCCAACAACAGACTGGCCCTTAATGCCCAACAATAGACAGACCCTGATATATATTCAGCAGTACATTGACCCTGATATATCCCTAACAGCAAACTGGACTCTGATATCACCTGCCTCTGAGTTACCCAGAAAAATGCCCTACTGTGGACTGACCCCAGAGCAGAGATATCCAGATATATGTCCCACTATGATAACCTGATATCACTCGCCCCTCAGCAGCTGTATATATACCCCACAATGGACTGACCGTGTGAAATGACTGTAAGTAAATAAATCAGTTGTATCAAAGCTTGGCGACAGTCCTCCTCCAATCTCTGCCAACCTCCTTCTCCAGTTACATACATAGTCTTTAATAAAGGCATTACCTGCCTGTCACTTGTTTATTTCAGGTGAATTCCAAGTCATTCAGCGAGAAAATGTATTCCTTTGATTATCTATGCATGAATAGATGTGAAGGGAGGCTTGTGACTTGTTTATTTCTCTGTTGTGCTAATACATTGCAGTGATTGTATAGCTGGGCAGAGCTGTGGGACTTGTACATAGCTGTCAATATACAGCAGCCAGTCGGCTGGAACAGGTGCTCTCTGAACATACACCTGGACCCTTGGTCATCCAGTCTGGCATCTGTTATTAGATTTACATTCAAGCAGTTGGCTCCAAATATTAAGCTTGACCGGTTAAGGTTTTATCCAGAGAGAAAGACATTATTTCCTGAAATTTCTTCTTGTCAGTAATTTCACAGCTCTGGTTAATCACCAAGTCTGGTCATACAAATATTAAAAACAGGTTCCAAACAATTACTTTGATAACTTTTGTTGTCAACTTGTGGAATCTCAACTAAGGTCCTGGTGGACAAGTAGGGGAAAATTTCTATTTTGTTCAAAACTGGTACTTCTTTTTCTAACGTTAAGTGTCTTAACATTGTATTATGAGGCTGCATTCAATATTATATAACTAAGTATTAACACATCTTGCTATTTTTGAAAAACAGGTCAGCCATAAAAAGGATTAACATAATTATTTCTTGCTTCTTGATGACAATTTGGGCATATTTAATTCCAACTTGTTTGAAATCTAAATTACATTTGGCACATATGTGGGGCTGTATATCAGACATTTGACAGATCTAGATAAATACCTATTATGTAGTCAGATGTTTATTTACAAGACCCTTACCTGACTTGCTTGTTGAGCATGTAAATAGGGCTTTTGATATTGCTTAAGTACAAAATAAGCATTACATAATGACTTCCCCATGCAAGACAGGGACAAGCTTCAGATGGACTACGCTCCATCTGGTATCAATTAGGATAAGACTGCCACCCAGACATAAGTCAGCCCTCACAATATTGTCACTATCATGGTTGATCTGGGGAATACAAGATTACCTTGTCCACTCCTGGCCACTTAGAGAGGAGGCAGGACAAAGGTTAAACACATGCAGGCACCAGACCATGAAAATAGCCCAATCACAATGCCTTTCACTTACACAGAATAATGAAATGTCTTTGTACTTCTGCCGTAGGATAAGAAAATTTATCTCTTTGATATTCCAGTGACTAAGATGTCAGATAGCAAGCGAGTCGACTGACACCATCCATTAGCCACAGGGATCAAATCCCTGTATATTGAATATTTTACAAATTCCAGATTGAAATCGGGCCAGGTATAGAAATGGAATGATATAGCCATTGTCTTGCGTCTGCAGGGAATTCAGTGACATTTTCTCCTGCAGCTAATGTCAGTACACATTACAAGAATGGAATATAAACTTTCCCAATTCCTGTTGCCTGTTTATGTAAGACAACGGAGGAGTCAGTGTAGTTCACTGATAATTACAGCATGGATGAAAGGAAGAGAATTTCATGATTCATTTAACCATTACTGCACTGAGTGCAAAGGTAAAATACCTCTGAATTAATCAATTCTCCAGCATGGAGCTACATGTTTTTTTCCAATCTGCTTGGCAAGGACACTAAATAGTTTGGAATCCTTGATAAATTCCTGGCCTGAGAGCACAACATCCACTGTAGCGTTGGTTTCTTCCTACACCAGGTCTGTCTGCTGTGGTGGATAACCTGCCTAGAAACCGATTACCACCTGTCTGTTAATGGGGTTAACATAGTCTGTAGTGGTTTTGAAATATACTCAGTGAGATGTTTGACTTCATTTGTGAACTCAAAGAGGTATATTTTATTAATACACATTTATACACTGTCAGTCTACAATCTAGGACTGTTTCATGAAAGTGTAAATATGATTGTGATAGTAGTCCCTGCATGTATATTGCACTGAAGACAATAAATCCAAAGATATACATGTACATGAAAATACAGAATTTGTTTTTCCCCTTTAATTACCACGAAAATAGCTATTAAGCATTAATTTCATGAAATAAGCCAGTTACAATGTATGGTACTGTTTGAAAAGTATTCAAGCAAGGAGACATTGAATTATCCGACCCTCTGTATAATCCGACATTTTCTCCTGGTCCCAGTGAGTGTCGGATTATACAGAGTCCACTGTATTAGTTTTTCCAAGAAGTTCCAACTCAGACACAATATGGAAAATATACCCAAAAGTAAAAGTAATTCATGAAAATAGTGAAAAAAGATATGCCTCATTACACATTAAACATGCTTGCAAATAGTGTTTCTCACATGCTGTTTACAATTGCAACTCAATTCATGCTGTTGATAATTGCAATTCAATTGAACTTAATTCCTAATATATCCCAAAATACACAAGCAGAAATAAACAAGCGGTGTTAACGCCTATGGTGTCGTGCTGACATGTGCCGGCATCCCTGACTATCAGAATAGCACACCACATAGCTGGTGTTCACTGGGGCGTCAACGCCACTCATGTAATTCCGCCTGTGACTGATTCTGCGTGTATTCCACACCCGACCAACTCGGGCCAATGACACAAAGTTAGTAACACTGAACTCAACAGATAAGGATAACTTGACAAGTCACAGCCACAAAGAAAACTGTTTCTATGTCCACAGACCATGACATATCTATAAAATGTACTCTGTTTGGCTGATAACAAAGTATTTACCCTGAAATATACAGAATACAGAAAGCGTGCCTGAAGAAAAGGTTTTTGTTGGAGACTATCATGGCACATGATGAATAGTTAGTGGTGTTACCTGCTTCAATGAATTTCCCCAAGGCCCTATTTTTCTCATAAATTAATCCTTCCTTATCAGTCTTGTGTCTCCACAATTACAGACCTCTTACTATTTTTACCTTCCATCACTGCCTAAAAGAACATTCTGTTAAATTACATTTTCTTTGCAGACTTATTACTTACACATAACAAAACATATTTAATCATACATTGGCATACCAATATCAATCCTGTGTATGAACACATCCCACCACAGTATAACCTGCATTGTAAGACCCTGCCGGGAAGAATACATGTAGCAAAGAAACAGGTCACCATGTTTAGTTATGAGTTTTGGTAGAAAATGTGGCAGGTCCATGTTATTTGCCAAACAGGGCAAAAAGACCCAAATTTAACGCAAAAATGTGTACATCAAACTGTTTCCAAACAGCAACATTCCCGACTCGCCCCAGCGATGCATTCGTTCAATGGCATATCTCCAGTGTGCGTCTTAGCATGGTCCATTGTCTGTATGGCTAGGAGGGTGGGGCGGGCCAGCACTGCTCTCATGGGTGTGATTACATCGCCAGATATTGAATAAGGATTACGAGATACCAAATTGAGTCTGACTGCCTTGTAATGTACACAGACTCTATGGCTCCTACAGCATGTGTAAATCCTATATACCGGGTATTGTCATATTTGTATAGGTATAGCTGGTTGTGGCCCAGGTATCTGTTTACCGAATATTTTAAATTACTCCCGTAAGGACCTCAGATAGGCTGATGAGAATGTCGTTAGATAAACATGTTTACACAAGCTGGTTATTGAAGCTGGAGGCTGAATGAAGTAACCAACTGTTACCGTACTAGTAAGTTAGTGTTGACTGAGTGAGATCTAGTGTGTACACCTGACAATTCTCATGGCTCAATGCTGGTGCCACTAAACTACTTGGCCTACAGCTAAGTAAACATGATAACTATATTGTGTGGAAAGTATCACACTTCACACAACCAGACTTAAAACTGTTACAGGGCATGACATAATATCTCCTTGCTTCTTGAAAAGCTAGTTAACTGAATTCTGGATACATCCTGTATTTTCACATTCAACTCGTCAGAAACATGAGGATGGATGTACTATTATGTAGATGGGTCAGTTATCTGAGGATAAAATGCAGGACATTACATTGTTGATCATGATGTTTAAGAGTAGACATTTCATGTTCTTTTATACTGATTTATATTTGACCAGCTTGAGGATGTTACCAAAGGGCTGGGTGATGTTGCATCTAGGCAGTTTCAAGTAGGGCTAATAGCAGCAATGTCAACAGGCAGCTTAAATGCTGTTTCAACTGATCTCGCCAAGTTGTGATTTCTGTCCGCATTAAACATATTTAACCAGGTTCACGTTGATTCTAGCAGTTTTACACTCTATTAACTTACAAAACATGAAAACTTGTGACTTGAACTAAATAAACTGCTGTAACGTGACCTCAGCATCATCTTTTTGAAGAAAGTTGCAAGTCACTCCGACCCAAAGGTGTTCAAAGGTGCCAAAAAGTTCAGTTCAACTGACATTTAGAATGGAGCCACATTTTGGGGTATTATTTCATATTGGATAACTGGTTTCTGATACTAACATTAATGAGTGAGTGAGCGAGTATAGTTTTACGCCGCTTTTAGCAATATTCCAGCAATATCAAGTGAGTGAGTGAGTGAGTGAGTGAGTGAGTGAGTATAGTTTTACGCCGCTTTTAGCAATATTCCAGCAATATCCCGTCGGGGGACACCAGTAATGGGCTTCAAACATACTAACATTAATGTATTGCTGTAAATTTTCATTCTTATAGCTCTTCCAGTGTGTTTAAAACAAATGATGGTGTTACCTGAAAACTGCCAAAGCAACTGCCTCCTGGTAGAGTGACGTAGCAGACGTACGGTGGAGATGATGCTGGCTCTGACTCGTAAACCACCAGGGCGCCATTCTTCAGATCCGCACCCCGCTCCAGCTTCATCTGCCAGAACTCTTGCAGGGCTTCCACCACATTCACTGAAATAGGGGAGACAACTCACATGAACGATAACCAAGGGTAGTTAACTCCTAGAATGTATAACGGAATATATTTCCCTTTGTCTGATAACACAAAAACAAGGATTTTTGTAATCAGCGTATATAGTTACACATCAGATACAAACACGATGTGTCATAATGAATTCACGTCATTCTTCCTGGTAATGAACCATCCTACTTTATGTATTTCGTTTGGAATGTTTATGAAAGCTGGAGATAAGGATACACCTTTGATATAGGATATTTAAATACACTATCAACAAAACTTACACAGAAGGTGAGTTCACAATGAACATCTGTAGAAATAATTTCCATTGTGTAATAATATTGTCCACCATGTTGAGCATTACATGAAGAAAACGTTGATGGCATACTGATGATGAACTAGAGTGTGGTTGCCCTTAGTTTTGGGCTCCATTCTGTCTGGAGAGCTACATCCATGCCTCAACATTGACCATGTTGGTGACTGCTGTATTTCTGGTGCACATGCAGTGTGACTTATTACTGTTAGTGGTGGTCCGATTAATTGAAATAATCGAAGATTGGTCGCAGTGACAAAACGACCAAGCAATCGATCATGTTTTCTCATAATTGAACACAAACAATTCTGGAACACTTGTTTTCATTAATAATATTTTTCACAAGGTTGGTTTTGTATGTTTCATTTCATAAGCACTACAAGCTTGTTTCAAGTCATGATTGAATTTAACTTAAAGGCTCGAATAAATTTATGTTCCTAACATACTAGTCATCCTTTAAAAATGTGAAATTTTGCCAAAAACCCCAAAAGAACTACATGTTTTTTCCCTTATTTTTATGTACATTAACAAATTTCATAAATGGCGCTAACCAATTATTTTCGATGATTGATCGGTTGTAATGAACCAATCATCAATTATGAGATTATTTAAGAAATACACTTCGCTCTACCACCATGTATAGTGTAATAATACACACTTTTGCCCTGAACTATTATAGTTAAAGCACGAGGACGCTTGCGTCCGAGTGCTTTAACGTTATAATTGTTCAGGGCGAAAGTGTGTTTTATTACACTATACATGGTGGTAGGGCCGTGTATTTCTTTCTAAGATGCCAAATTTAATGCTTTCTAAAGATAATTACGATTGATTTAAGGCAGAAAACAAACGACAGTGTCGGTGGCCTAAATTAAGAATCCTCGCACAGGGCTAACTGGCGGCTGTTCTATTGATGTGTCTGCCCCCACGTTAAGACTAACGCTACCAGAAAAAACAAATGATAACAGTTTGATGACGGTTTACGCTCGATTAAATATCTTCTCTGAATTATTTTAATTACATCTGTCATTAACGTAAAACCATATGGGGCAATATGAACGTTGCATTTCTACTACCAGCGTAAGTTTAGATCAGTACATCCAGAGGAAGTTGAGTAGTCAGCGACATTCCACAATTGCATTGTGGGAATGTAAACATTACTTAACGCTACCGTGTCGCTGAAAACTTGTGGGTCGAAATGACACATTTTAACCGTCGTAAAATATAAACGTAATGTTTCCACCAGTGATGTTAGCTGCGTGAAGCAACAGCAAACCAAGAAACTGGATGCAACGGTGTAGTTTACTGTAGGAGGCAGTACGAGGCGATGACAACTGACATGCATCGTGACGTCGCTTACATTGTGATGTAATGTAAAATGGTTCGATTACGAGGGGGCATACTAGAATGGCGCAGTGACGGGATAACGTCATTCAATTGTTACGTCATCAAAAAATCTATACCTTTATTGTCTGATAATGTATTTTTTTTTCGATTGTTCTAACCGCTAGGCATCTTAGAAAACCAATTCCCAACACTAATTACTGTGTCTGAAAACATCCCACAGGTGTTGTTCTAGGCATATATCACTTAACAGGATAGTGCCAGGTCCGTATGTCTGCTCCTCAGAGATGACCAGGGAAAACATCCACACAATGTTGTTCTAGCAATTTCAACAGCAACAACATGCAGAATTTAGTCAATGTATCCATGGACAGTCAAATGTCTATTCACAATAACCCACTCAGTTTGAATGTCATCTGTGATACCACCCACACCATGACACTATCGCCTCAAACCGTCTGTGTTCAAGAACTGCATACCACTTGACACTACATCGCCAACATTTCCTGACATCTATGAATCGGGATTGCTAAACCGTGATTCACCTGGACACTACAGGTACACACCAATCTTTGTCACTTATGGTAAGCTGTTAGGGTCACACCTTCACAGAATGTCTTCTATCGGGTAGGATGCACAGACCCAGTATTTCACGCTTTGATGAAAGTGGCCAGATGTCAAGTGTTGGTGTTCAGTTTTATAGCTGCCAAGCAAGGGCCTCATTGCAACCCTATTTATTCTTAAGTCAAGAAACACTTTTGATTTGCCACACATTTGGCCAACATCGGATGTTGACATCCAATCTCATACCCACAGGTTGCTATTTAACACCGACATATTATCTTGAAGGCATTTTTTCAACTGCTTATGTACTATTGAGCTCCCCTGTATGTGCACACACAGTGAAACAAGATCTCAACACTGGCTACAACAAGCACAGAAGAATGTTCTCCAAACATGAAATCAAAGTTGAGTAAAAGTGTTCTAAACAAGCCATAGCAGGTGACCCTACAACCTTCCTTCTAATCAGGGCTGGTGTACGCAAACAAACGCAATTACGGTGTTGACAGGGCAAAAGCGGCATTATCTCCCAGATTTACCAACATCGCAGCAGGAAGTTTAATCATGATCAAGACAAATCTCTCAAGTTTATCCTCATGTCTCTACACACGATCAACACCTAGAATCAATACACCACGCTGTCACAGTCCAGTCTGACCCTACACAACTCAGGTTTCTGCCACCACCGCGGCAACATCAACCAGGTGGCAAGGTGCATGGAGAAGGATGTAGCAAAACTTTCTCACACTTTCTTCTTATATTCTAACAACATACATACATGGGACTCAGACATCTTGCCTGTCACATCCACATCCATGCTGGAATTCCTGCACACAGGCCAACCTCCAGAAGACACTCAGCTCAAACATAGTGCATACTGACTGAAGGTTCAATGAGTTAGTAAAGTATATTTACCTTGACAAAAACTGATTACACACTGACCTCTTCATAACATATATATGTTTGCATTACTCTGTACTGTTTGTAGCAGATACTAGATTGTGTTGTATTTCCAAGTAATGTCAATGGGAATGTCAAGTGAGCTACTGCAGCAAAATATGCCGCAGAAAATGAGTTGGACAAACTGACAGGAAACTAATACCTCACAACAACATCTCTCACAGATGTACAAGAAACATACATCTCCCACATATGTACAAGAAATATGGGTGAACACATCAGTAGTAGTTCATTGTCAGAAATGTCTTCCTCTTCACTGAATATAGCGACACAATATACTCCCAGTTTATCTTTAGGTCAAGAAGAGCATCAATATTCTCAACAATCAACTAAACCATAAATAAAAAGGACATGAATGGTTGACAAATATATGTTTTCACCAAGTTGTAAAAGCTGTCATGGCTGAAGCCTTCCTCCCCACCATCCACCATGATGACATGAACACAACAAGAAGTATCAACTTACAGTCTGCAGAACCAAAGTCATAATCCATTGGCAACATTTTGTAAAATGAATCCCAAATTCTGTCTAGTAGAGTGTGTATGTTGTCTGGAGCTGCAGGATACACCACAGCTACACCACAGCTGCACCACACTGGACCGTCCCTAACATGTCCACAGTACCCTGCCTGGAATCCTTGTCTGCAGCCTCCTGTGTTCTCCTTGGCCCCGAGCGAACAAACTGATCAGGCTCTGTATTGAATCATGTTTTACCAACATGGGCGTTTGTTTTTCCCAAGTCGTCACAACAAGCTGCTGCTGCAAGCCCTGCTGGCATCTTGTGGCATTCGACATGAGGTTACGTGTTTCAATAGCTAATTACACAATTGTCAAAACAAACACCACGTAAAACAATCTTACAGTGTCACCTCACTCTTCAGCTGAACAACTGCACTAATTAACACCTGTATTATTACATTTGTTTATTCAACATGTTTGTTTGATGCAACTAATTAACTGCCCAGGTGTAATAATCTGTAAATATAACACCTTCAGCTGTCAAAACTCAAAGTAATTACCCATGACACAAAGAGTTGAAGAGGATTATATGCTTAATCAGATGGCCTGAAGTCATTTGTTGTTGTAGTACTTAATCCTACTGCAGATAAGGACAAGGACTAGTGACACACCAGTAACAGGGAGCTTGTATTGTGTGTCACAGATTGATATCTGGGTTCTGGTAGAACATCACTGCTCACACAGAGCATCCCCAATCTGGAGCATACTAAAGCTAAACATTCCTACTATCATTCATACATCTTTTATCAAGATATGTAATTGAAAAGAGTGAAACAAAAATTGTATTTAAAATCAAATCTACATGTTCCAAAACCCACCAAACACAAGAAACTATCCATGTTCCATTTTTGGAGGTGAAGTTACTTATAAAAACATAAACATTCATAACTGAATTCACAATATTGACACTGCATACAAAACCTAAACATTCAAACTATGGTCTGGTCAATTGAAATGCCATAACCTCAGCAATTCTTTTATCAAGACATGTAATGGAAAATGTGAAACAAAAAATTTCATTTTCTGTTGTGACCCATGTTTTAGGTGAAGTTATTAATAAAAACATGAACATTCAAAGTTGAATTTATAATATTTCCAAATGAAAATGGAACGTCTTGAACCTCCAAACCTTTCAGTAATCATGTGGAAACAAGTATGCATAACCAGAGACCATATACCGGTATATGGTCTCTGGCATAACATAAAGTTATCTTTCCCAAGAGAATTCTACCACTGAGTTACAGGGATTCATTCAGTTCTGAAAAACTCCTGACATATTCAGGACAGTTTTGTTCATAGA